CCCATTCTTCTCAATAATGAGCTCACAACGTCGTTTTATTGATCCCACCAAATTAATTAACATGCTTTCCGGAATTCTATTCCACTTCTCTTCCATAAAACTCTCCAGTTCACCAAGATTTTTGGCATTTGTCGTTCTACTTTATTTTTAACAATACGCCAAAGGTTTTCTATCGGGTTTAAATTGATGGCCAGTTCATTCCACAAATGTAATATGCATTGACGTTGTGTTTCTTGTTAGAAACGGTATTGCGTTTGTATATGAAACAAAAGTTGAGTTAAGAATCAGGTTGTAGAACAACTCCCAAATAAACACCTGATTATCATTTTTATTTTCCATTTTACAGCTCCCAAATCAGATAGAAAACAAACGCGTTTACGTCGCATAAAAAATATCCGTTTTTTTTTGTTACACACTGTATATACCTACCTTTGATACATATCCATATACCTATTATATACCTACCTTATATATATGGTATACCTATAAAAAAAAAAATAAAAAAGGTGTGCTCAACAAGTTAACCTAAGAAACTTGTGACGCTTTTGACAATCATTGAGAACAGTTTTTTTTCAAACTCAGACTCTCAAAAACGCAGCTTTCTACTGATTTTTTTACTTGAGAACTTGTAACAGTGGGCTTCGGTTGATTGTAAGTCTTCATAATAGTGAGGAGACTTACACACCTGAGAGCCAGGAAATTTCGAGTCAGAGATAGAGGAAAAAAATAATGGGCAGTCTACCACCGGGGGGCCAAAGCTTTTTCTCAATCACAGATTTCGGAAAGTGAAAAAGTAAGCGAATACAATGGGGCAAATTATTTACCAGTCCATCCAAGTCGCAATATGATAATTACAGAAATTGATGACTATTGATCAAAAACGGCAACTATTAAACAGGCTTTAGTCAACGGAGAAGATATACCTTTTATGCCAATTGACATTGAAGAATATAATAAATATAGAAATAATAACCCGCTTATGTTTACGATTATACGGTTCACTTGTCAATGGAGGGAAAGCTGTAGTAACAATTTCCGGCATAAATATCCGTATTCCGGATATAGAGTTATTTAAGACTAAAATAAAAAGTATTTTAGCTAGCGGGGAAGATGAAGAGGGGTTGTGGATACGACAAATCTCCAGATAGAATGTATAAAAGCATTTCCTGTTCGTAAATATTACAAAGAAAAAAAATCCTATATCCGTATTGTTACAAACAAAGATTAATTGCTCTCAATATCGTTCTAAAATATATGTAATCTAGAAAATATAAATGAGAAAAGGTTAGAAGCGGCCTCGGACGATACAAGTACATATTATAGAAAAGTTGCCAGAGAATATAGGATATCGCAAAAGCTAGATAATAGATCTTCGAGGTCCCAGCGATGGCCATAACATTAGAAAGAGTTGAATCTAGGCCATTCACAGAATAAGCGTCCGGTTTAGGTTGGAAATAATGAAACAAAGTTAAATAAGGCGACACAGTTCGATATTGACTTGCTAACGTGAATGGGAAGGTGGCATGGAAAATCAGAAACTGCAACCAATCCAATATGGACTCTGACAATCCGAAAAATAACTGTCTCTGAACACGAACCAGTTTATTTAGATGGAAAATATGCCTCCGACACGTGACGTGCCTTCTCACAGGAGTCGATAAAAAAGTATATAAAGTGAGAGAGAAGTTTAAGAGTGAGAGTTTTAACATCGTCGATTGAAACAGGACATTTGCAAAGAGAAAAAGAAAAAAATAGTTTATAGAGAAGAAGTTTGCATGACGACGGTGGCCAATTTTGTCGTCACACTTGGGTACTCGTGACCTACAAAAAAGTGTGATGACAGATTTGCATTCGTGTCATCGTTTTTTCTGTCTGCTTTTAAATATAACCCTCTCAAATACAACATAATGGACAAAAATCAAGGTTGTAGAATATGTATTAGTTTTTCAATTTGATCAAGCCTACTAACGACTGGTATTATTATTTCAGGAACTACAGAAATGACTATTATCGCGCAAGAGAATGGTTTGTCTTAGTACTATTAGCTAACCCGTCTAATCAAGTTTACTAACACCAATACTGTCATGTTGTTGTTGATGTTGAAGAAAGTGCTGGTCCGAGGTTGAGTGCAAAAGAATTTGAACTATATAATAGACTGAATGCTGCAGGAAGAGTTACCTTTTTGAAGGTACTTGATCAAAGAACGGAAAAAGGATGGAAAGAAGGAAAAAAAATTGGAAAAGAAGGAAGGAAAGTAGGAAGAGAAGAAGGAAGGAAAGTAGGAAGAGAAGAAGGAAGGAAAGAAGAGCGTAAAAGAGGAGTATGTTATAAACCATATATTTGACATCGAGAATTTACTAAACTTTACTAAAATTATAATAGTTTTTCCGAAGTTATTTTTCACCTTCAAAATAGGAATTCTACGTAAATTCAACAATTGCTCTACTTATCATACTTGTCGCTATACTCTTCAATATACAATGATATGATTAAATTTTCTACTACAGTCGTCCCCCTCTACAGTTACTCCCTATATACGTGTATATATAAGCACAATTGGCTTACAGTCACACCTTTGGACAGAACCAACCGATTTTATAGTAAATTTACCTCTATACAGTCCCAATTCGCTTATAGTCCTATCACAAGACACAGCAGTAGATATATGGAAAACTACCTCCTTACAGTCACATCACGTGAAGAAAAATTACGTGATAAAAATAAAAAAATAAACGATTGGAGAACGCACACAAAATTAAAATGTCTATAGCCTCTCCAAGCAAGAAACTCAAATCACTAATGCTTTACGGCATGAGATTTGCATTTACTCAAACGGCCACAAGTACTGACATTACATCTTATTTCAATAGTAAGTATAATATTAATATAGATCGGTCCACAGTCACAGTAAGCAAGATCTTGTCCACGAAGGATAGATGGATTGATCTTAATCTCGAAAGTCAAGAATGAGTGTTAAATTTTCATTCCTAGAAAAGGTTATGACTTGTTGGGTGGAGCAGACGATAGAGCATGGCATAATTCTTACTGAACGTCTTATTAAGGAGAAAGCTTCATATAAGCACAATGAATTGCATACTGTATATCCTGGGATTCCTCCTCTACAGTCACACCCTCCTTACAGTCACAGATTTCAGGAAAACCGACGGTGTGACTGTAGAGGGAGACGACCGTATATCTTTGCATTCTATCGTCTTTGGAATTCAACTTTTCTGGGCAGGAGTAGAAGCAATACGAGAGAGATCTGATAAGAAAGTACTATTACTATATTCTTGCTTGCGTTATAGGGAGGCGTCCGCCATACTTTTTGCTTGCATAACTTATGCCAATATTCAAGTTTACAGTCGACTACTATCTATAGTCATACCCATTTGGCAGCTGTTTGTGGGGATTATAGACAATAGTCATGTGATCAAGTTTGCCTGTATGGCTCACACATTTCAAAAATAAAAATATTATTGTAATAACAAGTGAATAAAATATTGTTAAAGACAAGTATAACAATATTATTTGAAAAATGTGTCTAAAGTTTGTTGTTTTTCTCTTCCTAAACTTTAAAGCAGCATGTCGAATTAACACACTCGCTCAAGGCATCATTAATCTTGGTGAATGTCTCTTTTTTTTCTTTCATGAATCGTCCAGCATCACCGGAAGTATCTATTTTAATCCATCGTTCTTAATTAGTAGGAATACAATAAGTAGGTTTTCCACAACGCGCCCGCGTTTTAAAATTAAATAAAGACACGTGATCAGATGTGCTATAGACAGCGATCTGTTAAGGCGGCGGTGGCCAATTTTTGTTCTGTCTCTCAAATACAACATAATGGACAAAAATCAAGGTTGTAGAATATGTATTAGTTTTTCAACCTGATCAAGCCTACTAACGACTGGTATTATTATTTCACTACAGACATGACTATTATCGCGCAAGAAATGGTTTGTCTTAGTAATATTAGCTAACCCGGTCTAATAAATTTACTAACAACCAACACTGTCATGTTGTTGATGTTGAAGAAAGCGCTAGTCCGAGGTTGAGTCCAAAAAAATTTGAACTATATAATAGGCTGAATGCTGCAGAAAGAGTTACCTTTTTGAAGGTACTTGATCAAAGAGAGGAAAAAGGAAAAGAAGAAGGAAGGAAAGAAGGAAGGAAAGAAGAGCGTAAAAGAGGAGTATGTTATAAACCATATATTTGACATCGAGAATTTACTAAACTTTACTAAAATTATAATAGTTTTTCCGAAGTTATTTTTCACCTTCAAAATAGGGATTCTACGTAAATTCAACAATTGCTCTACTTATCATACTTGTCGCTATACTCTTCAGTATACTTGATGCAACACAAAAAAATAATAATAATGATATGATTAAATTTTCTACTTTCGTCTTTGGAATTCAACTTTTCCGGGCAGGAGTAGAAGCAATACGAGACAAGAAAGTACCACGTACTATATTCTTGCTTGCTTATTATTATTGCAAGGTTATAGGGAGGCGTCCGCCATACTAAGTTATTCTTTTTGCTTGCATAACGTATGCCAATATTCAAGTTTACTTACCTGATTCACTTTTTTTGGCTTCGAGCATATGTGCAGATTTGGCTTAGAGTCCCTAGTACTAGTAGCACGATATACCCACTTACCTTGACCCATTAAAGTATTAGTATACCGAAATTTTTGTCACAAAGTTGTCACTAAATGTCACTAGTACTAGTTGTTTGCAGGTACTTGTGACAGAACTTGTGACGACTGTTTGAGAGTTTTGAGCTCTATACTTCTTTATATCTGT